CCACTCTCTAGTGTTTACAGCACTTCCAGTTGTAACGATGGACATTACAAGGGGCATTCCAAAATTATATATATTGTACTATAATAGATCTGGTGAAGAATGGCGTGCTAATCGTTCCAAGCTAGGAAAGCAGTTGATGCCTGCCAATGTTTATGGCTATTGTCCTGGTTTTAATAAAGTTGCAAGACGATTTATAAGAAACGTTTATGACGTTCAGAATGATGATGGTTTTGTGGAAGATGCGAGAGACTTGATTAGATACTGGTCATTAGAAGGTAACGTAATAGTCTTGATGCAAGTATACTGAAATACATTCCTTTATTAGTTGCTACTCATTTTGTTTATGGAGCCAACCTTGACTGTAGAAATGATAAAGAAGGCCTTGCAAAGGAACTTCAAGATGCAGTTGGAGGCCTGCTTGATTGCATTTTTGATTTACAGACAACCTTGCCTCTCTTTAAAATTTTTCCCACTAAAGCTTATAAAGATTTCAACAAAAACATGGACAAATTAATTGAGATTGGACAAGTCTATGCTGACAAGTACTCATCTGATATAGAGGCAAGGGCTGCAGTGAGTGATGAGAAATTTCATGGGATGAGTCTACTAGAGCAATGGCTGATTGAAGGCAAAATGAGCACTAAAGATGCCATCTCTCATTCCATTAATATGCTGGGAGCAGGAATGGACACTGTGAGTTTTTATATGTTTAGTCTTTGTTACAGCAATTTTTCCATGTAGACAGCACACACTACTGCCTTTGTTCTGTACTCATTATCCAAGCATCCCAAAGTACAGGAGAAAGCATATAAGCAGATAACATCAGTATTAGGTGATGATGAAGAACCTGATGGAGATTCTCTACAGAAGATGCCTTACCTGGGGCACCTCATTAAAGAAACGCAAAGGTAATATAAACCTTGTATACCTTAAGTAAATATCCTAAAAATCAATTCTCTGAAAGGGTGTTTTTGGAAAAAATTACAAAAACCATAATTATGAGAATAACATGCTTAATTATTATGAATTTTGTCATCATGGATAGATTATACCCTGTGGCTCCTTTTGTGCCAAGAATGCTAGACACTGATATTGATCTATTAGGCTATCATATTCCTGCTAAAGTAAGTATATTGATGACCATACCTTGTCATTAAATTTTTTTATGAAGACAACAATAGTGCCAGGACTGGAAGCTATGGGTCAAGACCCTAAACTTTTTAAGGATCCATTGAAATTCAATCCTGATCGCTGGTCAACTGATGACATACACCCATTCA